TAATAGTGGGATAAAATTTGCTTTTATGATTTAATATGACAATTCAAATAACATTAGATAAAAAACTTGAAAACAAATCATGCTTTTTTACCATGAAAAATCCATAAGTTTTCATTGGAAAGGTGTTCCTAATACCTATGGAAATTCCATGGTTTTTCCATGGATGGAAAATCATTGAATATCCATGGTATTTGGAACACTTTTCCATGAAAAACTTAAAGATTTTTCATGGGAAATTCATGTGTTTTCCATGGAAAACTCATGGTTTTTCCATGGAAAACTCATGGTTTTTCCATGGAAAACTCATGTTTTTTCCATGGAAAACTCATGGTTTTTCCATGGAAAACTCATGGTTTTTCCATGGAAAACTCATGGTTTTTCCATGGAAAACTCATGGTTTTTCCATGGAAAACTCATGGTTTTTCCATGGAAAACTCATGGTTTTTTCATGGAAAACTCATGGTTTTTTCATGGGAACGTGTTCCAAATACCCATGGTTTTTCCATGGGTTTTTTTTCTAAAATTCCCATGGGAAATTTTCGTACGGGTCCTTCGGGGATAGGGCCTCGTCATATGCGACTTCTTATTTATGATGGATCAGGAAAGTTTAATAGATTACTGTTGATAGCGGACCCAACTTTGCAGTGGTTGTAGATAAGACCGTCGTTTTGAGACCCGAAGCCACCTATACTAAACAATGAAAATTAATATTTTGCATTACACCTTGCTAAAAATACAATGCTAAAAAATATTTTTGGTTCAATACGTTAAAACATTTTGAGCTGGCGACTCAATAATTACATATTTACCATCTATTGCACCAAGATAATAAGGAAAATTCTATCGCTTGTGAAATTCTGAAGATATTTTAAGCTATTGTTGTTTGGGAGATGGTGCTAATAAATATCTTTTTTTTTCTTCACTAAACTACTCCACGTGTTTCTTTTATTATTATTAACCTATTTAATTATTCTTTTTAAAGTTTTAAGACTCACTCTAAAATTTATTTAAATTTTAAGATACATTAATGCTAAACATCAGCAGTTGAAACCACACGTCTTTAGGGATCGTCCATCAATTACGCAACGCTAAATTTATTTACAAAAAGTAGGGGATAAAGTTCTTTGACGCGGCCATTTTCGTTAAACTTATTGCGCTATTTAATTTTAGGCTCTGCCAGAGAAAACTTTTGATCTTTTTTGTTTTTTATTAGTGAAATTTCGTCGATGTTATAAGGATTTTTTCAATAGATTGCTTTTTCAATGTCAGTAATAAAGCTATTTTCTTTTTTAGTAAAAAAAAAGTGTTTTTGTTGTTAAGCCATTCTTAACAACAAAAACACTTAAAATTTCCACGAGGAGAATGGAGATCAAATTCCGCAAAAAGTTTTCCGGCAAAGAACAACTTTTATTATTAAATTTCCTCCAAAGCGCAAAAAATTCTGCATGGAGAACAGATTTTGAAATTTTTTTTTTAGTTGTTAAACAGAAAGTATGAAAATAATAAAATAGGAAGTATGAAAGTATTTATTTTTATACTTTTAGTTGTGCAGCAAAAACCGAATTTAAGACGAAAAGTTTTTTTTATAAATTGTTATTAAATTAATTAAGGGGGAAACTCCCCTAAAATCATCAAAAAAACAAAAATTTAGTATTACCGTTTTTAGATATAAAAACTACCATATATTTCATTTATGTAATTTGTTTTTCATAAAAATCATTTTAAAGTGCAGAAATTTTAGGTTTTTTAATGGTGAGTTGATGTTTCGATATATTGAAAGTGTAATTTTTTTGTCGTATTTGAAAAAAAAAAAAAAAAGCTGATATAAAATGCCTAACTTGGGTTAGGATGCTTCATTCTATTATACTTCTTGTTCAGCTAAGCAAAAGTAAGCGAGATTAGGAGACAAAACGCACTCAGATTAATTTAATTTAACAAGAATGCCAAAAAGTTGTAGAGTAAAACGTCGAACTAATCTTGCTAGGAAAAGGTGTAGATCTTTTCCAGTTAAAAAATCATTAATTTATGAAGAAGAAGTTGTTGTTGATAGTGTAAATAAAGAATCTACTCCAATTGTAAATATTTTAATTAATAATGACACTGTGGTTCACTGTCTGAGTGATGAAAATAAAAATGACGCTTCTGATAATATCGTAAATATTCCAGCATCACATTCAAAAATACGACAAATTGATGTAGTTGAAACTTCTACTCTACTGTCTGGATATAGAATTATAGATATAGAAGTGTTATCTGTTATTTTTAAAGAACTCATTTGTCCAATGTGCTTCAATGAAGACTCTCTTGTGTTGTCTGACAACTTAAAAGATCGACATGGACTTGCCTCTTTTTTAGTTTTAAAATGCTCAGATTGTTTATTTCGTAAAAATTTTTGTACTTCAAAAAAAAGTGGTAAGCAGGGATTCGACATAAATAAGCGAGCTATTTACACAATGCGGTCGTTGGGTCATGGTCACGCAGGACTTGAAAAATTCACTTCTTTAATGAATATTCCTCCGCCAATGACTAGAAATAACTACGACAAGCTTGCTAAAACAATCTCTAAAGTTGTGAAAAAAGTAGCAATAGAAACTATGTGTGATGCTGCTGCGGAAATCAGACACAATTCGAATACTGATATTGTTGATACTGGTGTTTCATGTGATGGGACATGGCAACGACGAGGTTTTTCATCATATAATGGCGTAATGACTGCAATATCTATTGATAGTGGAAAGATATTGGACGTAGAACCAATGAGTAGAATTTGTAAAGCCTGTATTTTAATGGAACCAAAAAAGAAAAGTGAACCTTTACATTTTGCTGAGTGGAGAAATGTACATAAGTGTGCATATGACTACAAAGGGTCTGCTGGGGGTATGGAGCCAATTGGTATGAAAAAAATATTTGAACGTTCTATTACAGAACGCAAGCTTCGCTATGTAAACTATTTAGGTGATGGGGACAGTAAGAGCTATTTAAATGTTATGAATGTCTACCCTGGTTTGGAAGTAAAAAAACTTGAGTGTGTTGGATACTATCAAAAACGTATCGGTACAAGATTAAGAAAGTTGAAGAAAAAAACTAAAAACCTTGGTGGTAGAGGTAAATTAACAGATGCGACAATTGATCGGTTGCAAAGTTATTTTGGTATTGCGATCAGAGCTAATGTAGGAGATTTAGCATCTATGAAAGCTGGTACTCTGGCATCGCTTTATCATGTTGCCTCCAATAATGAGAATAATCTACATTTTCCACATTGCCCAGTAGGAGCTGATAGTTGGTGCAAATATAATTCAGATGAAGCCAATAGAACAAATACTTATAAACCTGGACCAGGTTTACCAATTTCTATTGTTTATAAAATCAAACCAATCTTTGCAGAACTCAGTGCTGACCAACATTTGGAAAAGTACTTACATGGTAAGACACAAAATACTAAAGTTTTAATTGTACTATCTGGGAGCGTTTACCTAAAACGAAATTTATATCATTTAGTCAATTAGAATTTGAAGTTTATGATGCAGTAGCTAATTTTAACATTGGTCGAAAAGCCTCAATTTTAGTTTATGAATCTTTGGACATAATTCCAGTATAATATATACTCTTAAAGGTTGTAAAAATTTAAACTATAAACGACAGTTACATTCTAAGTACAGAAATATTGATAAAAACAAGTTGCGACGAAAAATAATTTGTGGCAAAAAACATAACAAAAATGATAAAGAAAAAGAAAAAGAAGGGAGTCGCAACTTGTTTTTATTAATATTTCTGTACTTAGAATGTAACAGTCGTTTATAGTTTAAATTTTTACAACCTTCAAGAGTATATACTCCTGGAATTATGTCCAAAGATTCATAAACTAAAATTGAGGCTTTTCGACCAATGTTAAAATTAGCTACTGCATCATAAACTCCAAATTCTAATTCTATGTTGTATGAAGCAGGAGGTTTCTAATACTTTTTATTAGATATTTTAACTATAGCATGTGTTTTACTTAAAGTTTTAAAGTTTTATGTGCTAATTTTTTTTTCTTTTCGCGTTTTCTCAAAATAGTCTTTATTCACACGCCGGCCGTTCTATCTCAAGAATCGTTTAACCAATTTTGATGAAATTTTCTGGAGTTGTTTTTATGATTATTAACTGTGGTTTAATACAAACAGTTTTTTAAATTGAGGTTTAGATTTTTTTATTTTTGATATTTTGAATAAAAAATATTTTCACCATCTTTAAATGTGCACATCGCTCAGATTTTTAGTTACAGGAAAATGCCGCTATTAAAACACTCTTTGACCTTTTGTGAAGCATTTGGTGAAAGCTTTTTCAGAGATCTTGCATGGTTATTTAGTTTTTACGGCCGGTGTGAATGCATTTTTTGCCCATTTTTATGTGTTTTTTGTGGTAACTATGGCAACCAAAAACCATTTTGTATTTTTTTACAAGGATTTTGTTTATTCATATTATATTGATGTTTTATATTCTTGATGTTGTTTAAAATGTTTAGTACTTATGTTTAGGGGGGGGCTTCCCCCTTAAAAAGAAATTCGGGTTAATCAGTTAATTGTGCTTAATAAGCTATTTGTCTAATACCATGAAAAAATATCCACATTTTACCGACTTTTTACCAAAGGTAGGTCGGTATTTAACCGACTACCCCATATTTTATCTTTTCCGAGTCAAACTATTTTGCAAGAATGCTTCACGTAAGTATTTTTATTTTATGCTAAGAATACACGGAGTAATCGTGCTAAAACTTTCATGCTAAATTTTATTCAATGCGTTAAAATTTTATACAATACATTTGTTTTTCGCGAATTCTTTTGGTTCAAGTTTATTCAACTGTTTTGCATTTTTTTGCAAGTTCGCACTTATTTCAGATTTTACACATTCTTTCAGATTTGCACTTAGTTTTTGCAACTTTAACGCATTTATGCAGATTCGCACATAGTAAGCCTACGGGTAAAAAAAATATAGAAAAAAATTTTTAAGATAAAAACTCGTTTTACAACAGAAAAACACAATTCGTCTTCTATAACAATAAAAAGCTGAATAAAAATAATAATAAATATATAAAGATTTTAAAAAAATATATCAAAATTTACAACAAATGTTTTTTTTCAAATCTCAACATTCAACAATAGTGAAGAAGAACTCTTTAAGTTCAATGTCTGTTATGCTGCTTATTTTATAAAGAAGTTCTGGTTAATAAAGAACAATATTTTTTACTTTATTAAGAACAAACTATATTTACTAAAAACAAAATTCAGATTTACTATAAAAACTAATTTTATAATACAAAATAAAAGTAAAAAAGGAGACCAGGCCAGCAAGCCTCGGGACTCGAGTCCCTCATTATAAATAATAGCTTATAAAAAGATTTCTGATGTTATTTAAAAAGCCAGTAAAATACAAATACAAATAAAAAAGCAGCTTCATTTTTTAATTATATATAATATATTTTATATAATTATATATAATTTAAAATATTAATAAAGAGATTTGTTTATTTATAGCATGATTAACTACTAGACAAACTTCTACAAACTACAGAGTCGACTCTTTTGAAAAGCCAATCAATTTTCTTTTTTTTTTTTAATATGTAAATTGAACTTTTTATTTTTTATTTTTTTTAACAGCTTAAAATTCAATAATTAAGATAAAGATAAAAAAAATTAAAACTATTATAATAAGAAACAAAATAAATCACAATTAAAATTAGTTTTCACAGCACCCCCCCTTTGATTTTATAGTCTGATTTTTCAAGTCAAAGTTTTGTATATACTGCGAACTTTCTTCAGGTAGTTTTTTGGTAATCTCTTGAAATATATAAGCTACATTTTGAGAAGTCAATGCTGACACTTCTGCAAAGACAGCACCGATTTCAGAAGCATAATTTTCTCCTGCCTCTAATGAGACTTCTCGTTGGTCTTTTAAGTCACTTTTATTTCCAGCAATTGCAATTACTAATCCAGGTGGACCAAGCTCACGCAATTCACGCACCCAAGTCTTGACACTTTTAAAAGTATTTTCCACTGTCAAATCATAAACAACTATAGCTGCAGCAGCACCCCGGTAATACATGGGTGCAAGCGATTTATACTTTTCTTGACCTGCTGTATCCCATATTTGATATTTGTATGAATTTTCACCTAACGAAATTGTTTTAGACATAAATGAGGCTCCTATAGTTGCAGTTGATTGAATATCAAATCGATCAGTAACAAAGCGTAAAACAAGACTTGATTTTCCAACACCAGAATCACCGAGTAAACAGAGCTTAATTTCTCTCATTGGGTTGTATGACATCCTTTTTTTTAGCACAGTAATGTTGATTACATTAAAAACATTTATTCAATCATTTATTTACTTATTGGTTTGAACTTATTAACATATTTTTTTCTCTCCAAGTAATTGATAATTTGATGTAACTATATATAAAAATAATCTGATTTAATTCAAAAACAATATGTGTATATATATATATATATATATATATATATATATATATATATATATATATATATATATATATATATATATATATATATATATATATATATATATATATATATATATATATATATAAGTAGTATATATATATATAAGTAATTGATAATTTGATGTAACTGTATATAAAAATAATCTGATTTAATTCAAAAACAATATGTATATATATGTATATATTATATATATATATATATATATATATATATATATATATATATATATATATATAAATATAAATATAAATATATATATATATATATATATATATATATATATATATATATATATATATATATATATATATATAATATATATATATATATATATATATAAACAGGCCTCGGCAAGAAGCTCTCTTGCCCACACTCTCTTCAAACGGTTTACGGGAGCAATTTATGGCTTTCGCAAAAAGTATAACTTTTTCTCGCAAAAAATTCAATTTATCACAAAGGTTAGAAAATTAGTAGTACATGTTTTAAATACGTGTAAATAAAAAAAATCAAAAATTGTTGGTTGAAAATCAAAAACGCCATAACCTACAATTTACAAAATTTCAAAATTAGGTTGAATTAAAGGCCACCCTTTGGCGTCTTTTAAAGAACAAATTAACTCAAAAAAAAAAGACGTATTTTATTAACGCAGCCATGTGTTAAAATTCAATTTAGTTTTGTATAAAAAATAAAGTTTATATACAATACTGAATTTATTAATAATTTTGGAACAACTAAAATAATTAGAAAATAAATGCCTATAAAATGTCAGATGAAATAACTGAAATTGCCTACTTATGGCAAAACAACTTGTTACAGAATAAAAATTAGATAAGTGTTTTTATTAAGTTTTATATATATATACATAAATATATAAATACATAAATATATATATATATATATATATATATATATATATATACATAAATATATATATATATATATATATATATATATATATATATATATATATATATATATATATATATATATATATATATCAAACCTTGGAATTAGGGTCGGCCTAATTACCAACTTAAAAGTGTTTTAGGACGGCAAAAACTTTTTCAACAACTTATTTTTCCATCAAAAGGCTCATCTTCCTGATGAACCAATTGATGAAGTAAAAATTTGTTGAAGCAAAAATATTAGATAAATGTTTTTACAAAATTATTATCTGTTCTTTAAGAACATTGAGCACTCTGTGTTAAATATACTAACATAACACATACACACACACACACACATATATATATATATATATATATATATATATATATATATATATATATATATATATATATATATATATATATATATATATATATATATATATATATATATATATATATATATATATATGTATATATATATATATAAAGGATGTTAACCAGGAATAAATTTGATACAGCATTAGGACAAAATTGGGAATTTGTCAAAATATTTCCTTATCCCCCCTCCACCTGAAATTAAATTGTCTTCCGGGAATGCGTAGAGTCTTTTTCTTATTTTCTTTCTTCTTCTACTCTTCTTCAGTGCTGCATACATTGATTGGACAGCGCCAAAAATAAAATTCCGTCTGCAACATTTATTTCATTTATTGAAGATGAATATGAAACCAACACAAAATTAAAAGTGGTTTTGCAACTACACTGCAAACCCCAATTTCTTATAATTAAAGCTAAAGCTCGCTATTCTCCGATCATAAAATCTCATACTTTAACAGTATCAATATTAAGGGCAAGTCTGTTATTTCACCTCTTGTGTATTCAGGTTCAGACTTTGTTAACTCACCTAAAGACAAAGTTTATTCGTTTGCTTAGAACTTTTCATCAATATCATCTCTTAATTCCACTAGTTGCGTTCTACCTGATATAGCCGTCAAACAGGTTGATCCATTGCTTGACATAGGTATCACTCCAGCTTCTGTATCAAAAGTGATTTCCTGCTTAGACTCTTCTACAGCTTGTGGTCCAGATAACTTATCTGTTGTTGTTTTGCAGGAGTATTCTTCGGAGCTGTTATCCATACTTTCAAAACTATTTAACAAGTGCTTATCTTGCTTTCCGGCATGCTGGAAATCGGAATCTGTTATCCCAACTTTTAAAAATTCTGGAGAATGATCTGATTTGTCTAACTAGCATTCAATTAGTCTTCTTCCTATCATAAGTAAGGTTTTTCTCTCATCTTGAATCTAATAACTTACTTTCTGATCATGAATATGGATATCGATCTTCTTGTTCTAAAGCTAATTTGCTAACAGTAATAACTGATAGGTTTTATCGTACATTGAATAAAGGTGGAGAGGTTAAGGCCATTGCTCTTGACATTTCTAAGGCTTTTAATAGAGTTTGGCATGCTGGTCTTCTCCATAAGCTTTCTCCTTACGGTGTATCTGGTAACATCTTTAAGGTTATTGAATCCTTCCTTTCCAATCGTAGTATAAAACTTGTCCTCGATGGACAACACTCTTCTTTATATTCAGTAACTTGAGAGGTTCCTCAGGGTTTAATTCTTGGCCCTATATTCTTTTTAATTTACATTAACAATCTTCCAGATATCCTCACATCTACGGTGGCATTGTTTGCTGATGATACTACCATTTATTCTTGTCATGATAAGAAGCCAACTCTCTCTGATTGCTTGGAAGGGGCATTTGAGCTTGGAAAGGATATCACTTCTGCTTCAGCACAGGGCTCACAGTGGCTAATAAACTTTAATTCAGATAAAACTCAATTTTTTTTGAGCCAATTGTTATCGCAATAATTTAGATCTTCCTATATTTATGAACAGTAATGTACTCGATGAATCATCTACTCTTCATCTTCTAGGATTAACTTTTACTTCTGATCTTTTTTGGAATACGTATATCAAATTCATTGCAAAATTAGCATCTGCTAAGGTTGCATCTCTTTATTGAGCTCGACATCTAAGGTGGCATTATTCGCTGACGACACTACCATTTACTCTTGTCATGATAAGAAGCCTACACTCTCTGATTGCTTGGAGGGGGTATCTGAGCTTGAAAAGGATCTCACTTCTGCTACAGCATGGGGCTCACAGTGGCTGGTGAACTTTAATTCAGATAAAACTCAATTTTATTCGGTCAATCGTTATCGTAATAATTTAGATCTTCCTATATTTATGAATGGTAATGTACTAGATGAGTCATCTACCATTCATCTTCTAGGATTAACTCTTACTTCTGATCTTTCTTTTAAACCGTATATCAAATCCATTGCAAAATTAGCATCTGCTAAGGTTGCATCTCTTTATCGAGCTCGACACTTTCTTACTCCAGATTCTATTCTTTATCTCTATAAATCTCAAATCCGTCCTTTTATGGAATACTGTTGCCATATTTGGGGCAGATTTTCGAATGATGCCCTTTTTCTTTTAGACAATGTACAAAAACGCATTAAAAACATAGTTGGACCTGCTTTTGCAGCCAACCTCCAACCATTATCTTATCGTCGTAATGTTGCTTCTCTTTGTCTTTTCTTTAAATATTATAATGGGCACTGCTCTAAAGAACTAGTGTCTTTTGTGCCATCTACTAAAATTCATTCTCGTGATACTCGTCATTCAATTAAGTCTTATTTTTTTCTGTGACTGTTCCTAAGTTCTCCAAAAACTCTTGTTCATCTAGTTTTTTTCCTCGAACATCAGTTCTTTGGAATTTGCTTCCTTCATCTTGCTTTCCTGATTCATATAATTTGCTATCTTTTAAGTTGTCTGTTAATCGATATCTTGCTCTACAAACTTCATCTTTTCTCTTTCAGTAACTTCCAACTCTTATAGTAGTTGCATGCAGCTTTATTGAAAATAAAGATGTAAAAAAAAAAAAAAAAAAAAAAATTAAATATTTTTATATCATCTTATTACGTGTATATTAATTAATTATTATTTAGAATTTTACATTTGATTTATTCAATTTATTATATCACTGCCGTTTTTATTTTTAGAATAATCTTTTGAATATATATTTCTCTTTCTCTGGTGGGTATTAAAGGGTGGTTTTTAAAGTATATTATATAATCTAAATATTAATGCTGTAAAAATTCAATGTTCAATGTCATTTCGCTTTCGTTTTTAAAGCAGTTTTAATTAGTTACTAGGCTTTTCTGAACTTGAAAAAGCGCGTTCTCAAAATGCACGCGGTCATAAAAGAAAGATCTGGAACTGAATTATTATTTATTAGTTTAGAAATATTACATAAAGAATCAAATCAAGTTAAATAATCATCGTTAAGATTATATTACAATTGAAGTAAGAATGGAAATAGTTTAGCAATTTATATATAACATTTTTATTAAAAATAAAGTAGAATGGATCACTCCTTTTAATTTTTTAAATCATTTTGTTTGTTTTAGTTTTTCTTTTGGCTTTATTTTTTTCTAGCAGTTTTGTTTTTATTGAGCATATCTTCTACTTTTTAAAAGGGGTATGGTTGAGGCCTAATAATTTTTTATGGATTTTTAATGCAACAAAAAAGTTATACTAATGCTATTTCAATAAAATTGGTTATTGCTACCTTGAAATTTCTGTGATGCTATTAAATGTTTTTGCTCTTTTTTAGAAAATTTATGTTTATATTATGTTATTTTCATGTTTTCAAAGTGCTGTGACTTGGTAAACATGTAAAGCAAGATTTGTCAACCTTGCCAGCCAAGTCATGTACTTACTGCGGAGGGTTACACAGCAGTGTTTAATTTCAAACTGTTACTGCCTTAGGTCCAGGTATTTTCAAGCCTTTGTTAATAATTACTCTGAAAATACATAATAATGTATTTTAATAACATTTTGCGTAATGTTGTAACTTATGTTCTGTTATATATGAATTTTATGTTTCTTAAGCTATGTTATATGCATATTATATGAACTTATGGTGAATGCTATTGTTGTTGTGATGTTGTTTTTTGTAACCTTTT